TTGCTGCTTTGGGTCATTGTAATTAATTGATTTATCCTGTTCTCTTTACTTGGGAAGCTCTTCCCTCAGATTTCTCCAAGTCTCACTTCTTCAGTCCCTTGCTGCTTGGGGATCCTTCAGTGTGGAGTTCTGTCTCCTGCTGAGTATGTCTGTTCCAGAAGTGTATTCCCAAACTTCAGTCACCAGAGAGTGTGTTCGAGAACCCATTGTGGCTCATTTTTGAGACAAACCTTGAGCTAAAACTTCGCTGATTACCTGATCTCCATGAGCCCCTTTTGATTGGTACACCTCAGTGGAGTTTGGGTCTCTTAATAATTAGTACTGCATTGCATTCCAGCCTGGGCAACAGAGCTAGACCCTGTCTCAAAATAATAATAATCATAAAGAATTAATGTCAAGGTAGAGCTGATGTCCAGTGGTTCCCCAAGTCTAGTAATTCTGCGTGCCCCCATAATATTCAGTTACCCAGGTAAATGGCTGCAGACCTCTTTGGGAAAGGTAGGCGGAAGATCTATGCTATAAATTTTTGGCAGCATAATAGGATTCTTCTTCAAGGGGACCTTGCTTTCTCTTTCCTTATTTAAGGAGTTCTGGGCCTGCGAATTGGCTCATGTCTGGGAATTCAGTGAAGTATTCTGACTTTCTCTTGTGGTCATCAAGTCAGATTTTTGTTCATTTAAGCCACAACATTTCTGTTTAAACAAATGAAAAAAAATATGTCAATAGGCTGCCCTGTTCAGTTCCAGGGACACTGTTGTCTTTGTTTTGTGTTGCTATACCAGAATACTACAGACTAGGAAATTTATAAATAAAATAAATTTATTTCTTACAGTTCTGGAGACAGAGAAGCCCAAGGTCAAGGTGCCTGCATCTGGCAAGGACCTTCCTGCTGCATCATCCCATGGCAGAAGGTGGAAGGGCAAGAGATCACGCTTTAGAGAGAGAGGAAGGTGGCCAAACTCATCCTTTTATACAGAAACCCACTGCTGAGATAACTAACTCACTCCCCCAGTAATGGTATTAATCTGTTTATGAAGACAGGGCCATCATGTCCTAATCACCTCTTAAGGTTCCACCTCTCCATACTGTTGCATTGGGGATTATTTAACACAAACTTTGGGAGATACATTTAAACCATAGCACTCCACCCCTGGCCACCAAAATTCATGTCCTTTTAACATGTAGTATGCATTAATTACATCCCAATGGCCTCAAAGTTCTTAACTTGTACAACATCAGTCCAGAGTCTCATCTAAATCCGGTATGAGTGAGACTCAAGGAACAATTCGTCCTGAAACAAACCTTCTCCAGCTTTGAGCCTGTGAAATCAAAATAAGTCATCTACTTCCAAAATTCAATGGTAGAACAGGCATAGGATTGATACTCCCATTCCAAAGAGGAGAAATAGACAAGAAAAGGGGTAACTTGTCCCAAAAGTCCAAAACTCAACAGAGAAAACAACATTGAGTTTTAAAGCTGCAGAATAATCTTCTTTGACTCCATTCCTCCCATTCTGGGCACACTAGAGTGGGAATTAGGCTCCTCAAGGCCTTGAGTGTCCTTGCCCCTATGACTTTGCTGGGGCCAGCCCACACTTCAGCTCTCACAGGTTGGTGTCTCTCATGCCTGAGCTTTTTCAGAATTGTGGAGTTGCATTGGTAGCTCTACATTTTGGAGCCTCTGAGATGGCCTCGCTCTCAGGGCTCCACTAGCCATTGGCCTACTGGGGGCTCTCTGTGGGGGCTCCACTGCTGCAACAAGTTTGTCCGTGGGCCCCAGGCTGCCTACGACATCCTTTGAAATCTAGGCAGAGGCTGCCGTGGCACCATAGCTCATGCAGCCAGCAAGTTGGCAGTTAGTGCTATGTGGATACCACTGTGACTTACTGTTTGTGCCTTCTGGAGGTGTGGCAGGAGCTGCACTTGAACTCACTCGAGCTGTGACCGGGCTCACACTGTGAAGGAATGCAGGGAGTAGAGTTCTAAGTTGCCTGGGCAGCAAAAGCTGAGGTTCCATGGACACCTTTCTGGAAACCTTGCCCTCAAGGCCCTGCTCTGAGCCTGTGATGGGAGGGATGGCCTCCAAGATCTCTGAAGCAGCTTTACGGTCTTTCTCCCGTTGTCTTGATGAATGACACCCAGATACCTGAGTTCATTGCCCTTAAGTTCTGCTTTCTATATAGCCCTGGGACATGGCTACGGATCAGTCAAGTTCTTTGTGACTTTATTAGGATGGCGTTTACTCCAGTTGCCAGCATCTTGTTCATTTCCATCCAGTACCTCATCAGAATAGCCTTTATTGTCCATGTTTCTATCAGCTTTCTGATTGTGACCACTTAAGTAATTCCTAAGAAAGTTAAAGCCCTCCCTGCCGCTGTTGTTTTTTTCTAAGCCCTCACCAGGATTTCCCTTAATACTTCCTTGACTGCAGTCTAGGCTCTTCACAGCCATTTCCTCCAAGTTCTTCTGGCCTCTACTCATTTCCCAGCTCCAAAGCTGCTTCCACATTGTTAGATATTTGTTATTGCCATAGCCCCACTTGTTGGTACCAGTTTTCTGTTTTAGTCCATTTTGTGCTGCTGTAATAGAGTATCTGAGACTAGGTAACTCATACAGAACAGAAATTTATTTCTTACAGTTTGGGAGGCTGAGAAGTCCTGGGTTGAGGGGCCTTCATTTGGTGAGGGCCTTACTGCTGTGTCATCCCATGGCAGAAAGGACAAGAGCAAGAGAGAATGTACGAGAGAGAGAAGGGAAGAGGACCAAAGTCATCTTTTATCAGGACCCTGCTCCCGTGATAACTCATTCACTCTCCCAATCACATCATGATTCCATTCACAAACACCATGATTCCATTCACAAACACCATGATTCCATTCACAAACACCATGATTCCATTCACAAACACCATGATTCCATTCACAAGGCTCTGCCTTTTAAAGGGCCCGCCACTCAACATTGTAGCGTTGAGGATGAAGTTTCCAAAACGTGAACTTTGGAGGAAATGTTCAAACCATAGCACCTGGGATCAAGCATCCGTGCTGAATATTTCTGTGACCAAATTCCTCCGCAGCTCTACTTCTGTTGGTTGTGCTGACAATACCCACCTTGTCTCTGAATGTGAAGTGCTCCCACTTGTCCTCTGCCACATCAATATCGCATCTTCTGGGTGAATTCAAGGAACACAGCCATGTGGCAGCAGTTCCCACATTAATTCCTGGCCCACACCAGAGCCAGGTATATATTCACATATTCCAGGGCTCCCCCTGTAAATGTATTTCTCATGGCCTTGGTGAAGGGGGGCACCCCTAGGACATAGCCAGGGGATTGCCAAACTGGTTTCCCATCATCAGGCAAATCCAGCATTCCAATCTTGCTAAGCCTTTGAATATATACCAGGGAAGTTCTGAGGTTTCAACTTCATGGAGCATCAGCCACTTTTGGGAACAGATTTCAGCCAACCTAGCACTAGCACACTGAACCCAAGCTGGTGCTCTCATATAAAAACCTGCCATATTTACGTACTGATTCCCTTCCAACTAGAATGTGAGCTCACTGAAGACAACAGATGTAATGGTTTCACTGTTCTAGGGTCTCTGATGACTAGAAGAGAGCCTGCTCTAGTGCATTGTCTGGGTGTTCAGTGGTATTTGTCCAATCATTGACTGGTTGGTTACTTATTTGTTCATTCAAAAGATATTTATTGAGTATAGTGCTCAAGAAAAACAGCAAGTAATAGACCTTTAGAAGTGGAAGTTATCTGAATGATCAAGAAGCAGAAAGATGGCCAGGGTTGGGACAGTGAGGGTAGAGGGAATGGGGTGTGAGATGAAGTTTTGAGCTGGATAGTAACCATGCTTTGCAGCATGTGGTGTGTTTCCATGTGAGGCGTTTTTGTCTATTATTCCAAGTGCAGTAGGAAGCCCCAGGAGTGTTTTAAGCCAGGGAGAGAGAGAATTTTATATTTCAAGTTTATAGTACCTGTCGTCTTGAGACTAGGTTTAGTAAGACAAGTTTGGGAGCAGGGAGATTCACTGGAGGACTGTTTTTTATTCCTCTAGAGAATACACAGTGTAGCTTGAACTAGAGCAGGGTGGGGGTTGACATCTCCCTGTCCACCTGCTGTTGTCACTGGTGCCATGATGAAGCCTTGTGCTATGGACATGCTGTGGGGCTGCTGCTGTGGGGACAGTGGCTGCAGTGCAAGCGTCTAACTCTTGCTATGGTGGCAGGGATGAGAGCAGACCAAGGAGGAGCCATATAGATGGAAAGGAATGGAAAATTAAGAGTGGCACACGGGACACTTGTTTCACCCAGTGCAGCGACTGCAGCAGACTTTTCTAACATCTTACAGAGGTGCACTCAGCAAGCTCTTCTGTGATATTATTTTTACTAATCCAGTTGCCTCATATATATAAAACTTCAGAAACAAAGTTAAACTTTGTAACAGCGCTATTTTAATATAAATAGGCTGCATAGATGCAGTCTATGGATAATTCTAAATAAGAAGTCGGCCAGGCGCAGTGGCTCATGCCTGTAATCCCAGCACTTTGAGAGGCTGAGGCAGAGGGATCGCTTGATCTCAGGAGTACGAGACTAGCCTGGGTAACATGGTGAAAGCCTGTCACTACAAAAAATACAAAAATTAGCCAGGCATGGTGTGGTGGTGTGTGCCTGTAGTCCCAGCTGCTTGGGAGGCTGAGGTGGGAGGATGGCTTGAGCCCAGGAGGTGGAGGTTGCAGTGAGCTGAGATGGTGCCACTGCATTCCAGCCTGGGTAACAGAGATAGACCCTGTCTCAAAATAAATAAATAGTCATAGTAATTTTAATTTTCAATCTTACTTGTTTTATAAAATAGATTATAATATTTAAATCATGCTATAAAAGCATAATGAATAGCTTAGTGTATTAAGTCACATAATAGTATGCTTTACAGACTAAGGAATTTTTATTATATTTTATTTAAAGTCTGTTTTTATTTTTGTTATTTTTAATCCAAAGTACCAAGATACGAATATGCAGGGAGTTGTATATGAACTAAACAGCTATATAGAACAACGGTTGGACACAGGAGGAGACAACCAGCTACTCCTCTATGAACTGAGCAGCATCATCAAAATAGGTAAGAAGCATTTTGTGTTCCTCTTAGAAAAACTGGGCAAAGATTCTTTTACAAAAAGCAGTAAAAAAAATTTACTTACTAAGGGGCAGATGAAAGTCATTTATATTTACTTCTATTTCTGGACTAAATTTGAAGTGAAAGTTTTTATTATGAAACTACCAGAGTGAGTCAAACCTAAAACTTTCTAAATTATCTAATCCCAAATAAGTATCTGCCTGATATATACATGTAAAGTACTATGCCTTCTAATTCACACCTAGTTTCCTTTGGAAAGCATAGGTTTATTGAATTAAATCACATCTTTATAAAATGTATTAATTTAAAAGACAGAATAAGCATTTTAAATATATTTGGGTAAATGACAATTTTATATACCATTTAAGAAATGGGTTATGTTGTGAATAGAATGGGGAAAGCTATATCAGAAAAGTAGTATTTTAGAAGGATGCACTTGTTTTTAGGACACGTTTTTCAGAAGGATACCCACTATGACAATTGTATCTTTCATTTTTCTTTTGTTTTTTAATTTGAAAATAAAAATATTAATGAGACCAACTGTAGTGATCACATTTATTGTATATTTAAGTATATGCTAGGCACCTGTCTATGCATATTATATGCATTAACTGACTTATTATGGTCTCGTGAGGTTGTTTTTATTATTACCACTATATTACTGATGAGGAAGCTATAGAACAGAGAGGTTAAACATCTTACCCAAAGTAACACAGGTAAAAAGGAGTTATTTTAGTGATGAAGAAGCTATAGAACAGAGAGATTAAACATCTTACCCAAAGTGACACAGGTAAAAAGGAGTTAAGTAGGGGTTTAAATTGAGGCAGTCCCTCCAGAACTTACACTGTTAACTGCTATAGTTGCCTTCAGATGACCCCAAAGCAATTTTGGGTAAGTTAAATTATGTTTGCTTCAGTGACAATTATAGATAAATACATCGGCTTTTTAGGTTGAGAATTAATGTTGGTTAATTAATATTATAAATATCACTTGTGGTATTTTAAAAACTTTAAAAATTAAACAATTCTCAAATTTAAAAAATATTAAATGATTCTGAATACTTACAGTTCAACAAATATGTTACTATGTAGTACGTTGACTGCTATATGCATTTGAGGATATCATATCTTAAATTGTATACTCACTGATGAAACATGTAGAGGATATTTTCATTATGCTATTGAGTAAGGCCATAAATGATTCTGTTCCATTTACTGCATGACCATTGATTCTGTTAACAAATCAGTTTGAAAGACTCACATCTGCCGCTCACCGTAGAGAATGCATACATGTTAGATTCTCCCACTGAGCTCAGTTCTTTCTTTTCTTATTACTTTGGCAGCCACAAAAGCTGATGGATTTGCATTGTATTTCCTTGGAGAGTGCAATAATGTAAGTATCTAAATTTAGATTTTGGTGCTCTAGATAAGAAAATATCAGAAGCTCCTTTAAAAAAGTTATAAACAACAGACATTTCATGATTAAGTATTTTTCATTTAAATTCATTTTGGTTTTAGTTTCTATATTTGGTTGTTACCAGTCAAGCATTTTACTGACATGGCAACATTTAGGCATAAAATCGTGTGTGTGTGTGTGTGTGTGTGTGTGTGTGTGTTTCCTTTGGTTTGTGGTACCCTCGGTTATAAATGGTGTTTCTAGATTTAGTGTTTTGTGTAAAAGTTATTTGGCACTGTGAGCTTGGATGTTGTAGAGGAATTCCTGTACCCTCTTTACACATGATCTACAGAAAGTTGAACATTTTCTTGGTGATTTGTAAAGTTTTTGCAGATGACTCTAAACTCCTAGGGTGTAGTCCTAGGGCTCTGAGTCTAGATCCCTAAGCTGCCTTACTGTAGTAGGCTCAGGCCAGGCAAGGAATGGGGATTCTCAGCTCTGGCTGTTCCAGTCTTCTGCTGGCAGCCCGGATCCTGCGTTTCTGGTCTAACTTACCTGGAGCACAGCCCACCGTAAAATGCAACATACATAGGCACTTCCAAAAGTATTTCAAGTATTCCAAAAGGTGTTCAATTACTGGCATTTGATTTTTGATACAGTATTAAAAAGTATACATATTTTAGCATAATTTGAGCCAATAATACTAATATTCATAACTTTAATGTATAAATTCCCTCATAAATTTATTTGACACATTTTTGCTTCACATTTCTTATGTGTTAGGCATTGCTATCTGAGATTTGGAATGTATTTTTGCAATATGCTACATGTATTCTTGAGTAATCAAAATATGTATAAAATTATTTACATTATATACAGTGTTACTAGGAATAGAGACAAAAGCGTTCTGAGGTTTTTAGTAGGACTCAAATATAACAGTTTTGCAGAGTGTGAAAAGAGTTGCACAAAAATATTTATTGGCTGATTTAATTAACTTACAGCTTATCTTACTCGTTTCCATGGCGATTGTTTTCCCTTGTATTGTAATAAATTACGCTTGTTTCAAAGGCTTATTTAGGGCAAAGACATTTTCTTGTTCATTCTTGTATTTCCCAAGCCCCTCTCCTAGTGCCTTTCATATAAACAGTCAGATAAGAATGTTTATTAATTTGCATTACTCAGATATTACTACCACTTCCAAATAAACTATATTTCAGACACTGGTAGTATTCTAAAATGGCTAAGCTACTAAAATAACAAATGGATATTACTTGTTTTCCGTGCATTAAAAATTATTTTTAAAACGTCCAAGTTTTTTTTAAAAGTTCATAATTTCTTTTAGAAACATATTTTGCAGTTTGCCATTATTTTTTAATTGGCTGATATGTGTGGAATGCAGTCTATTGTGGTCCACGTGGCATTACTCCTTCTGAGCCGCCTCCAGCAGTCCCCCGTGTGGCCATGCAGCCGTGCTCACATCCAGCCCCTTGCCCTCGGGTGTCTAGTTCAGATCGGGGTGGACATATGGTCCCTGAGGGCCCCGGCAGATTCTTTGCTAAAACCTGTATCTGGACTCAGCAATTCTAGCCGTTCACCTGAACGAAAGTGCTAACAACCCTGAAGTTGAGGCTGCCCCTACAGGATGCTCTCTTGCCCTGCGGGCAGAGACGGAGAGGTGCAGGCAGCAGGCACCCCGTGGCTGCAGTGGATGGGAGCCCAAAATGCTGACTTTGCAGGGCTTGGATTTAGGTTACAAAACCCATATTCTTAATCACTTGGCTTAAAAAAATTTTTTTTTCTTTTTTTGCTTTATTTGCAGACTTCTTTATACCTTGGCCTCAATGAAGTAGTTTCCTCTTATGATTCAGCAAAAAGGTTTTCTATCTACAATATCTAAATTGTAATTTTATGTATCAATTTGAATTATTTCATCTTTACTTATCTTTTACTTTAGTAACTTTAGTAACTGGTACAATATCCTCTCAGTTTTATTCTGGCTCCTTATTCTAAACTCCTAAGGCCAGTCCATTTACTGGGCATGCTTCTCTCTAGGGGCACTGATTCCCTGTTCCTTCTTTCTTGCCCGCATCTCAGGGACTGAGTCTCTTCAACTTAATATCCCTGTGAACAGCAGGGTACATAGTGAAATTGTAGCTGTCTCTCAGCTTTCCAAGTCGGATCCCACTGTACACTGTATTTTGCTTTCTCAATGTTGTATATGTCTCCTTCATAGAACATAGCTGAGTCTGTGATTACATGTTTATCTGTGATATGAGTGGTTATTTGTTTATCTGGCTTTCTTGCTAGAATATCAGCTTTATGAAGACAGGTACCTTATCTGCCTGGGAGGATAATTCTTGGGGATAATTACTGTGTTTTGCTCACTCTGTTTTTGCCCTTTATGCATTCCACCTAGATAGCTAAGCCCTTGTTATTTCCTTAACCCAGGGATTTCTGTGGGTAGGAAGTTCTTAAGGGAAATCTTAAGTTCACTCAAGTGTTTCTTTAGATGTATCTACATGATTACTACTGTCTTTGTTCTTCATTTCTTCTTGTATCTTGAGTCGTCCCGTTTGGGATTATTTTTCTTCCATCTGAAATATATCCTCTAGAGTTTCCCTTAGCGAGAGTTTGCTGATGGGAAGCACTCTCAGTTTGTGTTTGTGTGAATTTGTCTCTATTTCACCCACTTTCCTGGAATATATCTTTGGTAGATAGAGTTCAGGTTGATAAATTATCTCTCTGAATATTGACTAAAATAAAGACACTGTTTTTAAATTTATTTTGGTTTTCATTATAGTTTTTATTTCCTGTACATGTTTTCAAACTTGTCTTTTATTTTTTGAAATACATTAACCATACTTCTTCTATGTTCTTTTGAATTTACATTTTCTTGGGTTTGTTTTGTCCAACTCTGACAGATGGTGACTTTTGTGCTTATGTGTTTTATGGTTTTCTTTTTATTTTTCCTTTCTCTCTCTCTTTCCCTCCCTCCCTCTCTCTCTCTCTCTGTAGTTGTGAATTCTATTCTTTCATGGGGCTCTTAAATGGATACTCTCAAGGCTTGTTAGAAGTGCCTTTCTAGTTCCTTTCTTGGCGATAGACAGGCATTTGTTTCTGCTAGTCACTTAAGGTACTACCAATCCAAAACCATTTTAAACTAAATTATCTGGTTGAGATGAATTTTCAAACTACAAAGTAGTATGGCTTCAAGAGTCAAATCCACATGATGCATAATTGTGACTTCTCAGAGGAGATTGTTATTTTCCCTCCAGTACTAATTTCAAAATAATCTGGTTTCCTTGCAGCCTCTTTGCTGGGGTAAGTGTATTTGTCCTTCAACCTAAGATGAATGTGTGGCCTGTTGCCTGTCCTGGCCCTCTAAAGGGGTCTTTATTTAGACTTCCCTCACAGAAATGGCCCAACTTCTCTCTCCTGTCTCCCGCTCTCCATGTGGCTTTCCTGGGAGAAGATCAGTCTATTCAGTCATTAGTTAATTCCCTCCAGAGAAAGCCAGCTTTGGGATCTGGTCAACTCCCACAGTTCCTTTATTTACTTCCTTTTAGATTTCTATGGATTCCTTCCATTCTTCTCACCCAGCAAAGCAATATAAAAGATGGGTAAAATATATTTTATGCAGCCTTTAAATAAATTTGAAATTGTGTTTTCAAAAGTGTCAGCCAAATGATCTAATCTTCTGTATTGCTGGCAATAGAAGATACACTTCTGAAATGTAACTAACCATATTAATTTAAACATCTATTGCCTAGGTAAGCAGATACATGTATATATTTTTGTATTTCGTCTTTTGCACATGAAAGATTGCATAGTCTACATAATTATCAATCTTTAAAAAATTGTCACGATTTGAAATCATAGCAAGAAAGTCTTTCTTAAATAACTCAATTTCACAGCAAAAATTACATACTTTAGTGACAAAATTATAATAAAACCCAAATAGACTGAGAAAATTTTCTGTCCATATCAACAAATACTAAGGGTTAAAAAAGAAAGAATTATACAGTTTTTACACTTATTAAAGTATTAATTTTCTTCTCAGTCAGTAGAAATAAATTTCTGAAATTGATGTAATGAGAAATATAACTTAAATAACATTTAAATATGTCAGAAGTTCTAATAGAATTTAAAAACGCACATTCATATAAGCAAGGAGGAAAAAACATTCTGTGTTTTTTTTTTTTTTTTTGAGACGGAGTCTCGCTCTGTCACCCAGGCTGGAGTGCAGTGGCCGGATCTCAGCTCACTGCAAGCTGCGCCTCCCGGGTTCACGCCATTCTCCTGCCTCAGCCTCCTGAGTAGCTGGGACTACAGGCACCTGCCACCTCGCCCGGCTAAGTTTTTTTTTTTTGTATTTTTAGTAGAGACGGGGTTTCACTGTGTTAACCAGGATGGTCTCGATCTCCTGACCTCGTGATCCGCCCGTCTCGGCCTCCCAAAGTGCTGGGATTACAGGCTTGAGCCACCGCGCCCGGCCCTGTGTTTTTTTTTAAATAGAACATTTAGCAGAAAAAAACAAAACTTAAATACTAAAAATCACTAAAATTAAAACATAAAATATTGTTATGGAAATCATTATGTGATTATAACAAAATTACTTATAAAGAAGATCCAACTGTTAAAAGAAAAAAAATTAGATCAGGTTAAAAAATGAAACTGTCTTTTATTCTGGTGCATTGAAGTTTCTGAAGCAAAGTGGAGAAAATGGACAGAAAAGTAGTAGTATTTTTAGTTACTGAGATATCAAGAAAACAAGTTAGAAGACGTTATCAATACCATTATTATTTATCCAAATAATACACATGTTAAACTCAGTATATTAGGTTAGGATTTACCAGCTTGTGGTTCCTTTTCTTTTCTGGGCTAGACCCTAACTTTAATGTATTTAATTTCTGTCTAAGAATTCTTCATAGGACTCCTATAATGGCTAAAAGCAAAGGAAATTGGAGGGCTCAGAAGAAAACAGGAAGATGAGGGAA